GGGGGGTTGCGAGTGGGAGGGAGGGTGGCTGGGGTATGGGGATCTGTTTGTATGGTGGTGTGGGTGCATGTGTATGGTGGGAGGTATGTGTGGGACTCGCCCTATGAACACCCCCCCCCTCCCCCCCCAGGGTACTGGCGCAGCCTCATGCTCCTGGTCCGGCAATGCAGCCAGGAGCAGGAAGGCAAGCAAATGGCTGGGGGCAGTGTTGGGCTGCAGTGTCCTGCTGCCAGCTCCCCTTGGGTCCTACTGCTCCTGGCTCCTGTCATCTTTGACAGGCAGTCAGGAGCAAATAAATATTAAGTTTACTAAATTTTTTAGGGGCCCCGTGGGCCAGATAGAATGGCCTGGTGGGCTGGATCTGGCCCACAGGCCATATTTTGCCTGCCCCTGTTATAACTCCAAAGAATGAGTATTTATGTCCTTTCCAGAATTCATAGGTCATACAGGTTGTTCACTAGTCTTAATTCATTTAACTGCGGCTGCTGACACTACACACAGGAAGGCCTTTTTTAAATCTGACCAAACATCTGGTTTCAATGGCATCATAGAGTTTCACAAGATGATTGTGCCTTCTATTTAAAACAACAACAACAAGTTTCCCTCAGTTTAAAATTTTACACCTTTCAGCATCATGTCCCACTCTCAGGCCCAACTCTAAAGAGCTGCAATTACCATAGAAAAGAGGGTGAAAGGCAGGAGAGAAAGTACGAACTTTCCAAGCAGTGCTCTCCTTAACAATAAACCAAAGCATCCCTCCCTCTCAGACACAACACTTACTGGACTTGATTTGTGCTTTCAGGGTAGAGAGTGTGGCTCAGAGTACTGGTCTTCCCAAGGGGTATGAATCCAATTGGAATCTTACTGAAGGCAGCCTGGAAACATGAGAAGAGTAAATTAACATTTGCATCAGCTGAATTAAGCTTCCTGTGTGGAGAACACAGCTGTGCCTGGTATCAACCCGTTGGCATTAAGCAATCAGGCACTTCCTGAAATGAGGCAGTAATACACAATGACTCAGAACATGGCATCCGAGTCTCTGAACCCACCAGTGCCAACTGGTTACAGAGGAGCTCTCTCTAATCATCAGGGGTGTTTTTACATACAGGTTGGCAGATATGTGCTAACTAATGTATGGATTCTGTCAGCATTCTGCTTTCTTCCCCTATCCTGAAGCACTAAATCTCTTTTAACTTCATAGAAGCTCCCTTGATAGAGAAACCTTGCATTGCAAAGAGATTTTCTCACTTAAGCAAAAAAGGATATTAACGGATTCCTCTGCCAGCCAGCACATGAAGTGGCTTTGATTTTGGAGGTTGTCACCTGTGTTGGTACCTGTATCACCCTGCTGTACAGGCCTCATTGCTGGAGTGAGTGAGTGCAACACACACCATCCTAAACTGTGCTCCCTCAAGTGTGTCAGCAAATCAACGTAAACTATTGTATACTACAAGGCACCATCTCCCTGATAGGTACAGCTACCTGCGGCACTGTGTCAACTGCAGATCCACATTAGCTCAATGATAACCCTTTGCTATCACTTTGAACCACTTTCCCTTCATTTGTAAGATCCTGCACCCCCCACAAAGCCCCTCCTGCTCATTCTCCCCAGAGTAGGCTTATAGCTTACTCCTGCTCTGCCTTCTCCATCTATTAAAAAGGACATCTTTTCAGCAGCCTTAATAAGCTCGCCTATAAAACAGGGTTGGTAAGATGCCTCCCACATACAAAGGGACAGAAGAGGCAGTCCTGCAGGAACCATCACATATAGATCAACCCCTTGGACAGAACTGCTTGGTGCAGGAAAATTCTGGGGCCCTAAAAACCACAGAATGACTGGCTAGGACTGCTATGCAGCACTGCAAAATAATGCTGGGCCCAGGGATATTCTGCATTACAAATCAGTACAGCTGCATCACAAGGCACTAACTTCCAAAGTGCTGCTAAATGCAAAATGTGAGGAAAGACCCAAATAGTGTTATTTTGTAATGATAATATCTTTAAATAAGGGTCTTAGGGATCATCTGTAACTCTAACAATATTGCAGTAAACATGAACCTCTGTGAAGGTTTTTAAGTTGACAATTAAAAAGTAGTGATTCAGTTGCACTGTTCAACTCCAATTTTTGTCTTGTCACATTCAGATGGAGTCAGTGCATAAACAGATACAATTTTAGTTGCCAAGAATGTCATCAGATTCTTGTCTCGATGATTTTATTGACTTTTCGCTGGGTTTTGCCAGGAGATTTTGACAGCAATCTTCCCCCACTTTATTAATTAGCACTGTCCTATCCATTACAAAATATACCACTCCCAACGCAAATATTCTAGCACGGAGTGCTTCACACTGCCTTCTGCAACATTTACCCAAGCAGAAATTCACTGCTCAAATACTGATATAAAATGATCATAAAGGGGTAGAAGCATGGGCCACACTAAATTCCATTTTAAAGCCATACAAACATAGGAAATAGTATGTTGTTTTGGTCCAGCTCTGCTGTCAAACAAACATGCAAGCAAAAAAGCTATGCAAAGCTGGTCCATGGTCCTTTGAAAGTTTTGTGGTTGGCTTCTCAATATTCCCTGCCCTGCAATCGGACACTTCCCCACTGTCTTGACTGGGAGCCATTCCACTCATTGAGAAAAGGAATGAAGAGCAGTAAGCAAGACAGCAAGACTCTTGCATAGCCAGCTCATCATCACCCAGCAAGTCATCCTTGGATTATGGAGCTATAATACCTGCAGCAGCCAGCTGACACCCAGAGACTCCTCTGAGCCCCCAAGATGTTTTCTTCAAAAACATATTAAAAAAACGAAATACAAAAACACTCCCCATACCTCATCTGCTCTGCGAAGGAGCCCAGTTATGACCTGAAAAATAATGGAAACATTTAACTACAGGATTTTTTTGTGCAATTACAGTGATAGCCTACGAAGCACATGCTTTTGCTCTTCAGAACAGACGCACACTTAGGATACATTTACTGTTTTATGGAATGGACTGTTGCTGCTTGCAGAGAAAAGGTGCACTTTTTGCACAAGCCATGGAGAATATGGCAGAGTTCTAGAGGTACAATCATTGAAACTGATGGCAGCATAGATATTCACAAGCATCTGAGTCTGCATATCTTCAAATATGTGACGATGGCCCTGAATATGCACTCCTTTCAAAGATCCATCAAACTGAAGGCCAGTAGGAACTGTTAGATTATCTAGCTTGACTTTGCATCCAATACAGGGCACAGAATTTCATCCTATTCATCCTGTATAATCCCAATAATTTCATGTTTAACGAAAGTGTAACTTTTAAAAATGCTGCCTATCTTGATTTGAAAATCACGCAGGGGGCACCATGTGCAGAGGGGCATGGGGAGGGAGAACTGAGGCCCCCATAGTGAGGGAGGGAGGGAGGAAATGGGGCAGGGCTGGGGCTGCTGCCCAGCCGGGGCAGCACATCAGGCTTGGGGCTGGATACGGGGCTACAGGGCCTGGGTAGGGAGTGGGATGGGGCCACAGCAACTAGTCCGGAGGGCAGCTGGTGGACGGCTGGCTCCCTGCCACTGTGTATGCTCCTGGGAGAGGGCACACGCCTCCAAGATTTGTGCACAGTGTAGGCTGCCCGCTGCAGGATTGGGCTGTCCTTCCCCTGGGGCCCCCATGCCCCAGGAAGTGGGACCCAGCATGGCAGGTCAGACTGGGGTGCAGAAGCTCAGTGCTGCCACTGCTAGGAGCCCCATGCTGCCATGGCAAAGTGCTCCCTGCCCATCAAGTAGCTGCTGTGAGGGGCAGGGGGCTGCAAACCCAGGTCTCTGGCGCCATAGCCCTGGCAGCTGTGGGCCCCCCTCCATCAGGCAAAGGGGTGGGGGGGCTGTGATTGGGGAGTGAGGGATGCCAGCATGGCCTAGGGGACTGTGGGTAGGGAGTGAGGGGTCATGGCATAAGCAGAGCACTGGCATATCAAGGCTTCTCAGCACCACAAAACAGAATATGTTGGGGTGGGGGGAACAGCCGCAGCTAGACCCACATCGTGGTGAGTGCAGGGGGCAGCGAGAGCCCTGATTTTCCATGATAAAAAACCCAAAATCAAAACACTAAAATTTATAGCTATTTAGAATTTTATTATAGTGATTGAGGCACTGGTAGGCTTCCAAACTCCTTTAAAATTGTAAATATATCAATAGACCGTTTTGTTTAACTGATACCTATACACACCTACATATATTAGTGGCGTTTCATTTTAATCACAGAAAAACATGGATTGTGGCATTTTTAAATCAGAGAATTTGCGATTTTTAAACAGAGAAAGCCAGGATCCCTGCTAATAACTTAAATCTGGTCAAAAGGAGACTGGACAAATTCATGGAGGTTAGGTCCATCAGTGGGTATTAAATATGATCATGCTGAGATTGCACTTTTGACTAAGACAATCTAGGCCTCTGACTGTTCGACACTGTAAGGGGAGAGGTGCAGGGAATGCATTATTCTGGATATGCCCTGCTTAAATATTGTTCCCCTTAGCAGCCACACTGCTGGTGAGAAAGAGGATACTGGGCTGGATGGACTATGGTCTGACCCAGTACAGCATCTCTTATGTTCTAAGAGAAGGAAGAACAAAGAAAAACATCTGTTAGGTTGCTGGAGAGGTTGCAATGTAGTTATAGTGACAGGTTACTTTTTGTTGTTTGTAACATGGAATCATAGAGGTACACAACTGCAAATAGTTTGAGAACTGGTACTTGGGAATACTCAAACTCTATAAAAGGAAACCACCCAAAACAGAATCACCCACACATACCAGCATTTTTGGACTGAGAATAGCCTGAAGAAATTTTCCCCCTATACACTGTAGCAATTTACAGTGGGGGGTTTGAATAAGTCTCCAATCAGAACCAAAGCAATGCTGCCATTATGTCACCCATCCTCCAGCATCCTACCCCTAACATAGCGCTGTGGCTCTTAAACCCAAAGAGAGCTGCTACAAGAGTACCTCCTGGACAGTTCCATCCCCTCCTGCAATAATAATCAAGTCTGTGTTCTCCATCAGTTCCAGCAGCTTCTTTGCTTGTCCTTCATAATCTGTCTGAGATAGAAAGAGAAACCAAGCATCAGAAACTCAGCTTATCATGCCTAGGATTGCAGGCATGTCTACAGAAAAGTGACATTTGCTCCATAAGCTCTCTAAAGATGTAACACCATACACCTAGAAAATTATATGCACAGAAATCACTTCCCTGGCTTGTGAAACAAGTCCACTGTTTAACAGTATGTAACATCACCATACAAAAGGCAGAGGCTTTGTAAACCTCCGTAGCTAGTTTCAGAGTAGTGCAAATCCATAAGGAGCATTAAGGTCAAGTACATTTTATCTAAACTGAAAAGTACTTGAATACTAAGGAATCACTGGATCTTTAGTCAAAGACTGTGGTCTTGTCTCCTCCAAGACGGAGAATCTCTAACACTAGCATCTCCCACACACTATGTTGTTTATCTGGTTCACTGCTGTCATCTGGCTTAATACTAAGTGGGTAAAGTGCATTTACTGGACCAGCAACACTATTTCCTGTAGCACATAAGCTATTTGCAATGGTCTCTCATCCAACTACTGACCCAGCCGCATTTTGCTTAATTCCTGAAATGTACAGTTGAAAAAAAATTGCAGCTTGACAAAAGCCTAGTAAAATAAATAAAATTTTCTCCTGGGCTGACACTGTGTCTTTTTAACAGAATAGAGACAGGCACTAACAAAACCAGAGGTTTATGAAAGAAACACTAACACAATCTTATCACTAAGGCTACAAGATGGAAAGATACACCTGTCAGAGTACAATCATTTTCTAAAAGAGCAGCATTTATTGCCAGAATATAATGCATATGAACCTAGCTGAATTTTCCCAATCCCAAGGAGCTTTCAGAAACAGCAAGATCCCTACGTGTTTATTTTCCTTTTCTTTTACTTAGTGTTTTAGCATTCCCAAAACGTTCCACTACTTGGGGATCCATTGAAGTATGCACGGTTATTTTAATCAATATATACTGTTCTACTGCAATACAAACTTCTTGAATTTTATACATTCAGGCAGAGCAGACAACCCCAATGACTGTGTGCCTAAACTACCAGATGACTCTGAGATTTAGATTCTCCTCTCAAATGTTAATTACAGGGGGGTTGCCTTACACAAGAACATAAATCCATCCCATCACCCCCACTGAAAAGTAAAGTAAAAGTAATTCAAGACGTTTGTAAACTGAATAGAAATTTAAATATATATATATTAAACACTAGGCTAAGGTTTCACCACTTATACTCTGATTCCCCCAATAATCCCCAGCAACAGTCCAACAACAAATGCCTCCCTTCAGATGCCTACACCAGAGATATACCAATGGTGAAGACACAGCAAATCTAAACAGATTATTCCTTACCTTAACTATTGTTATATCCAAGCCAGATAAGTGTAAAATTGGAGCGGCATTCTTTTCAAAGAGGTTCCTAGCTTTGCTAAGGGAAGTAAAGGAGGAAATTATTTAGTTGTGCGGGGGCTTAAATATTCAAAAAACAAGAAGGAATGCCTGATCTACACAACAAGCCAGTCTGTTTCTTAGACTGAATCTTTAAGTATTGAATCTTTTTGATACAGTCTTAATAAATACAGAAGCATGTTCCAAAATAATAATTAAAAAAAAAAAATCAAAAACAGCAAGACTTCTAGAAAATAATACATTATTTATTACAAAATTAGCAAGCCATGGAGCAGCAGGCCTTAAAACCATGAAGAAATTCTGTTAAATTTTAAGAAAATAGTTTTAAACAGTTACTAGTTTCATACATTATTTAGTAAGTTTATGAAACAAAAACTATACCTGACCTTGTTTTAGTAAAGCTCTCATGCATTTTATGCCTGTTAATGCATAATAAAATAACTGTGCCATTAATTATAAATTGTGTACAATAAGCAGAACCCAGGGAACACAAAATCGAGACTATAAATTTATGGATACTGTACATTTTTCAAAGATGAGTGGTTTGTTGCAATTCCACCTTGTTACCACAGAACAAAAATGCAAGTCTAAGTGCTTCCAGGTCAGGTAACTTAACTCTTTTAATTGTTCACTGAAACCCGCCAGAGACGTGAATGACAGACAGTCCAGCCAAACTAAAGGGTCCCTAGCATGCATCCCTAGCACTAGTCAATACTATGCTGACCATTCCCCCGAAACATTCCCAAACAACTGCTGACCGTCTCCAGAAGTCTAGCTCTGTGCCCAGTTTTACAAGGCTCATGCCCATGGTACTGGGCATATCCCTCCTCAGGGTTAACTCTCACGTGACAGGAGCACTGGCTATCTACTACTGCTTCTGTATTTACTGAGGAGGAAACCAAGACCTGCTTCAAGAAACAAATGCTGAGGAACCAAAGAAAGGATATAAGAAAACCAAGAATGGAGGAGGCTTAAATGATTTAGGATTAATTCACTGAATGTGAACTTTTCATTTTCTTTAAATTACCATTTCTGATCCAATGTTTCAGGTACATGAGCACATACAAGTTGGATAACCTCAGACTGGTGTGAAATGAAGGAAAAAAAAAAAAAAAATCAAGCCCAAAAGTTTTGCTAGACCTTAAAGCAAAGGGCAACATATAGGGTATCTGAGATATGAAGAATGGAGGGGGAGGAAGTCTTTACCCTTTGCAAGCTGCTGGGTTCAGAAAAACTGTTGCTTTCTTCACTTCCATGTTGGAAGGAATCGACTCATTGCCAAACACCTACATAAGAGAAAAGAGGATCAGGAATCAGTTTCTCTTCTCAATCAGTTTTTAGGTACAGTATTAAATAGTGCATCCAAACAAACAGCATTATACTCCTACCCTACCCTACAAACAAATGGCTTCCCATTAGCAGAGCTTTGTCCTTAACAACAGTTTGTTTCAAAGTCACCCACAATTTCACAGACTGAAATCCTCTATCCCATTTCTTCGACACCACTACCATTCTCTTTGAATTCCAACCTTATTTTTTCAGCCAAGGAAAACATCTTGGGAGCTGTTCTTGAGTCTAAAATTACTTTTTTCTTCCCTCCCACATAATTCTTGTATGTTTGTCTACCACTTCCATCATAACACTGCCAGAACCCACTGGGGCACTGTTTTGGCACCCCTAATGAAATCCTTTATCTACAAGGTTATTGGTATTCTCTCTTTGTTGTTCTCCTTGAACTTTAATATGAAGGGGAAAGAAAGCTGTAACCAGACTACTCACTTTTACCAGTAAGCAGAACCCCATTAGATTTCTCTCCACCTCTAAATACAATAAAAAATAACCTCTTGATATTAAAAAGTTTATTCCCATCCTGGCCATTTTATCATCCCTCTCCCACAATTCACCACTACAGCAGTGGGCAAGGGAGGGCTGTGTTTTTACTTGTCATTCTTCATCTTTTAGATCTCCCTACTAGTTAACCCGAAACCAACACTTGCTACTTTTGGGCACCTATACACATGATGGACCTCTGCATGGGACCTAATCAGCACATGTCAGAACAAACTCGATCAAGTGAGTCTGCTGGAGCATGCTAACTAGCGGACTCCAGCAGCCTTCACATCACGTGTATTCAGTGTCCCCATTTCAAAATGGTGGCAGGGACACTTTAATTAAAGCTCGTTGAACAAATTTAGTTAAAGCGCCCCCACTGCCATTTTGAAGCATGGCACGCTGAACACACATGATGCTGTGGGTGCTTTAATTAGAGTGGCTCTCTGAGAGCCCTTTATTATGCTGTTGGAGCATCTCACAACAATGATGAGGGAGCAAGACCCACTGTGCTAGCTGCTTACATTCAAAGAACGAAAAGGAGACTCTCCCTGCCTCTGTTCCTTTCTAATTTACAAGGAAGTATCTTTAAAGCATTCTGATGCCACACAACACATTATGCATGCAGAACACTCCATATTTCAGTGATCAGTAGCTATTCAAAGCTGTAATTAACTCCAATTACCAACTTTATCAAGGGAACCTGAGTTAAGGGAAAAATATATACGATTAAAGGCAGGGCATTAAATTCAATTTTCTTTTTAAAGAAACAGGAAAAGAAGAGAAAGGAAAAGAGTGCAT